CCCCAAAACCCCAAAACCCCAAAACCCCAAAACCCCTGATAAAACGGTGGCGATTGAAGCTAAATAATATAAAACTATATTAAGAAATGGACACCCTCCCAGAGTTTAGTTTTGAGTACAACCAAGTCTTCCCACAGTGGGACTTTGCCAGTAATTATGTAAGGTGCAATAGACTTATGTTTAGAATGAGCTAGACAAGTTTAGCGAGAAGTATGGAACTGTAGAGCAAGAATTTGATGATAATTCGCAGAAGAAGATGTTTAATTTACAGGAACTGGAAGATGTTAGATTACAGAAATTTAATAAGTCTTCTGTCAAGAATATTGATTGTTTGAGGAAAAACCCACGTAGAAAGATCCAGGACTTCTTGGGCGAATCTTCTTTGAAACTCAGACATACTCTTGACCCCTCCCTCTTTTGTTCTGAAAAAGGGAAATACTCTGAAAGGAAAGATATCGTTCTAAAAGCAGTAATGAGAGCAATCAGGAGGTTCTATATGAATATTTTCAGAGTCCGATACCCTTCCTTGCTTTTATTGAGAATAATAAATGTTTCTCAAGCAGAGCTTACGAGAGCAGTTGAAGATATGTGATTGAGCCTATTTCCAGCAGATACAGTACAAAAGTATAAACTCAATATCTTCATGCAAACGTTGCTGGATCTCAAACCTCCATCACAAAATGAAGAGTTTAAGGAGGTTTTCAAAAGCGCCAGCTCTATTTTAAAATGCTGAAAAAGTTTTTCATCAACTCTATTTGACAAGGTTTGTTCGGATCCATGACTACAAAAAATATGCCAAAAAATCCAGACAAATTTTGAGGATGAATTTCTGGCCACTCTCAAGAACAAGGAACAAAATCTGGACCGCTATAAAAAAGTACTATATAGTCTTTGCTAATAAAATAAATTACACACAAATGCTGAAATTTGTAATGGTCTATTATTTTTCAAACTTTGCCAAGGAGGTATTCTTCGCCAAAATTTCCATGGGTTAGCTCAAGTATGCACTTTTACTCTATTTATGGGTACAAATTTCGAATTTCATAACTGTTCATATTGTAAGACCTCATATTATCAATATTCATAAGAAAGTAATCGCCAAATGAAAGTTAGGTGAAATTAGTTGGATTATTAATTTAGAAACCGAGGTTTTATTAGTATTTTTAAATAAAATACTGGTGTGAGTTGCCCATCAGGAGGAACTTTAATAGTCCAGGTTTTTATTGTAGCCACTTCTATTACCGTACGTCTGAAATTAATGTTACTATTTCTTAGTCAGTTGTTTTAATTTTTGATCCTAGAACAGAGGCGATTACAAGCCCAAAGATCTTCGATCTTCCTTCTTCCTCAATATCTTGAATCACTAAATTCACATAGAAATACTCTTTTCTCCTTTAACTCCATAATCCCTATTCCTGTTGAAAAAATTGTCATACCTAGTCAACCATATAAAACACCATATTTTCCAACCTAAATCATCATTAAGGGGTTTTGGGGTTTTGGGGTTTTGGGGG